AGTTTTGCTTGCCCACATGTCTTTTAGTAAAATCTTGGGAGAGTGATCCTTTATCTCATACGTCCTATGACGGTGATTGATTGGACAGTTGGCAAGTCAGTGTTTTTTATGTAATAATTTTGAGCCTTAACTACAGTATCTGATAACAAGTGTCTTTACCTACTTGTTAAACTAAAAAAAAATCACTTAATGTTCATTTGATAAACAGATAAATCTTGGGAGAGTCATCCTTAATACCTCATATGTTCTAGTTATTTTGAAAATGAGCAATGCTCGATACACTAAATTAATCAATGTTGGAGATTACAATAGTACAGCATAGTTACCTAAAACATCAGAATTAATCAACAATGATTGATTAGACAGTAGGCAAGTCAGTGTTTTTGATGTAACAATTACAGTATCTGATAACAAGTGTCTTACCTTTGTTAAACTAAAAAAAAAATCACTTAAAGTTCATTTGATAAGTTTCATTAAAGAAAATGGTCACGCAAGCAGGTTATTTGCTTAGTCTTAATAGATAAAATATTAAACATTTATTAAATTTTAAAGACCTAAAAGGCTTATTGTATTAAATGAATTTAGTGATATAATGCGTGCACATGAAATCATAAGGTCTGTCATTGAGTCATGTGACATGGTTTCAATTCTCTGCTTGTACGTGACAAGGAGTAGGGTCACCTGTCCAATCTCATGCGTTCTCTGCGGGTCTTCCGGTTTCCTCCCACTGCTAAAGACCCCTATGCTCAAGCGAATTATTGAAATAAAATTGTACCATTTGTTAGTGCCGAGTGGACATTAAAACCCATTTCTCTCTCTCTCTCTCTTTGGCTGTGGAACATTGGTACCTGTTATAACAAATTTAAGTTCAATGACAATGTTGACAAGCACAAGATAAACAATAATACCTTCTGCTTGATAACTACAAGAAAAATATTTTTGGTTGAAACGTCCCACTACTAAATTTGTTAGTGATTGTTATCCATGAAGTTGAGTTTTGTATTATTTCAGTTTGCACTCAAATAATAAGCTCATTGTACTATCAGTGGATATTTTAGTTGATATAATATTATCAGTGTGTTGTGATTAAGTGTTGTTTTTTTTAAATCACATTATCACACCATTTAAGAACAGATACTTTTTGCACTCCACCAGTGCAAAGGATTACTACAGAGAAAGATGTTTATCTCAACCATATCGCCTTACTCTTTATGACAGGACCAGTATATAATATATATTTTAAGCTTTGATCCATTATCCACATGCTAAGATTGTGAACTGCGTTTTATAAATGTGTTTTGTGAAAGAAGAAGAATAAAAAAAAGAAAGAATACATTTGTAGTTACATGATATTATAATGAAGTTAACTTTAATAAAAACTTTGGCACTTTGCCTTTAAAGTTAATACTTAATTTATAGACACTTTTTATTTTATCTAAGTTCTTAATAAACGTGGGGATATATATACTGTGGTGCTTGAAACAAAACTTGAGTGAAGTGCACAAAATGATAAAACTTCTGCTAATAAGCCATCTTTGATACATTTGGACCTGTAGATGGTAGTGTGGGTTTTTTCTCACTGCATCCACTCTTTCAATGTGGTTTATAGTTTCTAATGAATATATTTGGCAGCCAGTATGAGGCGTGTGCCTGTCTACAGAGAAATAGATTAGAACACAACAACATAGTAACTCTATATATATTGCTATCATTTATAGTCTTCCAAAATTAAACTTTCTTTAGTGCAAAGGTATATAGCGGATATATATATATATATACATGTATATAAGTATATGTAACATATGTTTTAAAACTGTACAAGACCTGTTGGCAACAATAAACAAGTTGTAATTATGATCTTGATTGACTGTTAAATGAGAAATCTTGCGCCTGCGATTCATTTGAGGCTGCTACGTCATAAATTTACTTCTAATTTATCAAACCGATTTGGTGAAAAGCGGACCAACTGCACGTTCGGCTACGTGCAGTAGAAGTTTTGTTCTTATCGTGTATTCTGTGGATTAACTGATATCATATATAGATCAGGATGTCGTTTCAATCGTTCGGAATGGTAATGGTTAAATTAGTGCAATGGAAAAAAAGAAATAAACGCAGTGTAAGTTTCTTTAACAACTTAACGAACCTCTCTGGGGTTTTTGATTCCTGTTCAAGCAGATATTGTCTGTTTATGTTTTCAACTTCTGCCAGAGGTATGGTGCAACCATTTTAATTTATAGCTTCTTGAGGTGTTAATGTGTTTTTTAAATTAAGGTGCAGCGAAATTGGGTTTAATTCAAGTTATGTATTTTCCTCTTTTCTGTTGGTTTTTTGGTTGGTCGTGAAAAGGGGTAAAGGGAGGGGGTGGGGAAAGTGATATTAAGTGAGTTGTAGTGATTGACTTTGACCTCAAATTGTCCAAGGGACAATTTTGTTTTTAATGAATTGGACCATGGAATGGGATGAAAATCTGTGTAGTAATGTCTCCCCTTTTGTTGTTTCTTAAGGGTTTTGCAACCGAAGACATAATGATCTGCTGTGTTGTTAAATTCACAAATGAAATACTACTTACAAAATATTATTTTGGTTTTTTTTTATGGTACCAGTACTAACAGTGGCTTTAACTTAATAACATTATATTTAATTTCACATTTGCAGATAATTCAGTATCCAAAATAACCCATGACTCATCTAATTATCAAAATACCAACAAGCAATGTGTTGTGTAGACCATGAGCCTTCCGAGATATACATGTAGATAGATAGAAGCGTATCTTTAAATATCATTGTAAGAACTTGAATTATAGGATAAACAAACAAATCATTGTTAAACATATGTCAAATGGACATTATTGTCTTACTTCACTGTCCAGTCGATCAGTGTTAATCTTGTTTATTGCTGTTTTTCTTGGTATTGGTGTTAAAATGGTGTAACATCATACACCTCCGATGATAAGGTCTGTCAATGAGTAAAATGTTGTAGTTTCGATAGTGGGTAGTGTTGTGGTTCTCCTCCAGTTTCCTCCCAATGCTTGAGATCCCCATGTTAGCACAAAATGTCTCTGTGTGTTGAGTGGTCATCTCTCTCTTTCAGGGGAGTGGATTATGAATATTCTCTGAAGGGATGTTTAATCGTTATAAAGGGATGTTTAATCGAATTTAGTTTAAATTTCTACATCCATATGATGTTATTTAAAGATGCATTATGTAAGATTTAGATAAACAGCTGGCTGTTCTTGATATGATAGTTCAAAAATAAATAATCCACAAGGAATATATTGGAAATTTTATTCAAATTACTTTATTCTGAGCGAAGATATTAGCCATTGAAGGTTTGACAAGGTGTGTGCACTAATTGTAAAAAACATACTGGTTGTTCGAAGCTTGGCCTTACTTCAACATTTTTAGGTTAAATTATTAAATGGCTAAACCGTTCTAATCTACTTAAAATCAAACCAATGCGATGGCATCGAGACTTGATGGTTGATAAATGTCTATTTAATAGTTTACATAGCATTTCTTGCCTAATAAAAGAACTGCAATAGGCAGATTTAGTTCTTGCATAATGTATGATTAATATTGAACCACTTCTTTGCATTTCCTATCTTAGAACTGATATTTTCTTGCATAGACCTGATGGGAGAAATCTGAACTACAAGGTCTGGATTGTTACTCATTGAATGTAGACTTTTTAAAGAGTAAGAAGACCACCCAGGAAATTCAAATAAGCAAAGTTCTGCTAAAGACCTCATAGAATAAAGATAGAAAAAATTAAAGCTGCTGCCAAAAATTTTAAACGGCTTGATCAAATTAAGATAAAACTTATTTTGAGGGGATTTAGAAACATTGTTTATATTTTTTATGGTAATGTCTGATTTAACTTGGAAAGAAAATCAAAATTGTTTACTCTGATAATGTTAGTAGTTTTAAGTTGTGGTGTGGCGAGGGCATACTTACCTATAACACTGTTGTTGGAGGAACCACAGTATCTTGGTGTGCATGGAGCTTGCTTACTCGGTGTCCTTGGTTTGATTCATATGCTGGCCGAGAAAGTTCTTTAGGATTTCCCGTCTGATTTTTCCTTGTCAGTCATGCAGGATAGAGAGCTTGACAATGAAAAGCATCAAGGTCCTGTGTACACATTTGCAAGTATATTAGAGAACCCTTAGCAGTTTGAATTCATAGACGAATATGTAAACTGTCATAGAAAACTGCATGGAATTTGTATTGAAATCTGTTTGTAATAAGTTTACTAAAATACACTAAGTATAATGTATTTAGGGCATACAACCCCTTGGCTATGTGAAATGAAAATCTGTCTTCTTTACAGACTATACATTGGTAGATAAAACCCATGTTGACATATAACCAAAACAAAAGTAATATTTTGTAAACAGACCGAGTTCTGCTTCTGTTGAGTCTATTGATGTATATAGTTTGGTTATTAATGAAAGTAACACATCATATCAACTCACCTTAATACTTTATTTTAAACTAAATCAAAGAGATTGTACTACTTTAAAGGCACAGTGTAAGTGTCTACGAATATTACATGTAATATAATTTAACTAGAGTTGTCCTAGAATCAACTTTGATAGTTTTTATACAACACAATCACACACTTATACATTAAATACAAGATCTAGCTAGTTGATCAATGTGTATTTTTGACCTATTTTTTGGGGTAGGGGTCCAAGAATCTTAAAGAAAATAATTATTAAAATCGCCAAAAAATCATTGACTTTAGCCAGTTCTTTCACGTAAAATGGTGGACACTAGATTTGGCCTTTAAATTAAAAGTAAGATGGGAACTTGCAAATGGTCAACACAAATCCTAAGTTTTAGTGTGAACATTTGAGACAGTAAAATGGTTGAGATTATTTTACGTAAGGTTACAAAAATTTCTAAGTTTTTACTTGTTTACACAGAAGAAGTTTTTTTTTTATGAAAGTCTGAACAATGAATGAAGCTAACAGTAACATGTTATATTTTCCTCATTACAGGGAAACAATGACGTGACAGTTGTGGTAGATGACTTTTCTGCTTGTTCAAATTCTGAACTGAGTGTTAGCCGAGGTCAACAAGTAGAAGTTATAGATGCCACTCCTGGTCAGTTAGATTGGTGTTTGGTGCGAGTAACAGATAATGACGGCAGCGGAGAACCTGGCCAAGGACTCGTCCCGATAGCCATTTTAAAACCTATACCAATACTTAAAGGCACAGGATGCAGAACCAGCATGGACTTAGATGGTAAATCTTTCAATTAAAAAAAATTTCAAAAAATATTGAGATTAGCCAATATTGCAGGAAAAAAATTGAATAAAAAAATAATAATTGCTGGTTGACATATATAATCAAATAGGTTTGGATCGGACTTAAGTATTCATAGAGACAGAATATCAAATTATAGTAATAATGCTTCATTTTATTTTTCGAAAGATATCAAATTTATAATACCTTGATTCATGCTAATATACTCGGATTGATTATTTTATATTTAATAAGAAAACAAAATGAAAATACCAGCACTAGATAATCCTCCAGCTTGGATTCAATCAGCTTTTTGAGGGTTGGGGGGGAGTGATGTTATATGATGTAGTTTAAAATTTGAAAATGTAATTTTACTCCCTCCAAAACTTTTATTTCAATATTTAATGTTATGATATAATTTTAGTCAATGCAAAAACATTTATTTCATTATTTTATTTTATTAAAAATGGCATTATGTAATATTTTGATAAAGAACTCACAGTTTTTGCTATAATAGTATTTTTTAAAAAAAAAGAACCAATAGTCAGTAGCCTACCTCGTATCTGGACTAATCGATATTTTATTTTCTTTTAGAATCAATGGAAGGAATGCCAGGAGCATCTTCTCCAGTTACAAAAAGAAGAAGCAGTTTTAGGTATTTTAAAAATTTATTACATATAGTTATTTAATATACTGTCTAAAGTTGAAGCCTTACATCAACGTCTTTTATGTGGAAGAGTCATGGGTTCATGACAAGAAATAGGGTTGTCTATCTGCCTAACCTCCAGGCTTTTCTCGGGGACCACGTGGCTGAGTGGGTAAGGCGCTGGCTCGCTAGCCTGGAGGTCGGGTGTTCGATCCCTGCATTGGCCGAGAAAGTTCATCCAGATTTTCCGGCGTGGTTCCCCCTTGTCAGTGATGCAGGACGGAGGGCCTGACAAGGACAGCTGTCTAGTCCTTCGGATGAGACGAAAAACCGAGGTCCCGTGTATACATTGGAATGCACGTAAAAGATCCCTTGGCAGTTGGAATTCGATATAAGAGTAGGCGATAGTGCCGCTGCCTGGGCAAAATATCCCTCATAGCACACTGTATGGCGTATGCCCGTCTTCATTAGCCCAGGTCAGGAGCAGAACAGTAGGACGTTAAACCCCATTTCATTTCATTTCATTTCCAGGGTTTTCTCTTGGTTTTCCAGTTTCATCTTCTCACTTTGAAAGAGTCTTGCCTGCAAGCGGATTATTGAATATAAATAAACCCTTTGATGTCTTTTCCATTCTTTCAATTTACTATAATTAACACCCACTTCTTATCTGCTTTATTGAAATGAAATTCATCATTAATAATATTACTAATTTTATCCAATAGAAAATGGTTAACAAACCCTGTCCGAAAATTGAGTCATGGAAAAATCGAAAAACAAGCGCCTCCATATCTAGAACCAGCACGACTGACTCGTGTCGAAAAGAAGGCCATTATAAATCCTCTGTCCGCAGTAAAGGTGAGATAATTTATTTTATTTGGTGTAGCTACAATTTTAGAATAATTAAGTAAAGGATCCCTTAATCCAAGAAGAACAGAGCCCTGGACTTAAAGTAGGTTCACTCTGAAACCATAAATGGTAGTGCATGGCTACCAGGCTGGTTACTTCCAACTCAAGCTACTGTTATACCTCAAACTTCAGCCTCAAAGCAGCCTTACTGAGACTGCTAATCACAACTAACAAACAGGACAGACAAACGACAGTCACAAATATGTATGTAGATTTAAATGTCTGTTTAGAAATGTCAACAATACAAAGATCCCAGTTGAACTAAAATCATTACATTACTGATATACATGTACATGTTAAGAGCAATGTCACGTTAATTAGGAAACAATATGCATGATAAATTATGTTTATGTTTACAACTCATCTGGTATACACTCAAATTGAGAAAGCCCCTCAATGTATTATTTGAATTTTTGTCCATGCTTTCTCGCTCTGTACTATTATTGTGGACACTACATCAACTTTACTTCATATAAATGAAGGCTGAATCAATCCACAATTTTAGAATTCTCCACATAAAATCACAGGCAATACAAATTGGAAAACAACTTTGTAAACATGTAATCCAAATGTCTGAGTGAATCTAAAACTGTTGGTTATGTCAATCTACCACAAGAGGTATACGATGAAGATGAGACTGATGGGATGTGATACCAGGTGTTCTTGAACACATAAGCGGATACCAGTACCATGCCAGTCCATAGTTTGTTTGGCTTCATTCAATGAAATGTAGAATGTATAAAAGCATATTAAATCAGAAGAAGATTTTTTCCCAATACAAGGACTCCAGACTCAGTGGAGTAAAATGACAACTTTAAGATTAAAGTGATTCAAGAGAGCTACATGAACCTATCAACATAATAATCTCTCTCTCTCATACTTCCAAATGTTGTGTGTTCCAAAATGAGATGCAGTTTACTGTCTTATGCACCAACCGAGCTTATGAAATGAAATGAAATTGAGTTGAAATTCCTGTTTTTTTGCACAAGTAATGAAGATAGACATGCCATGCATTTAGTTAATATTGTTATGATTCCTATGAGGTAAAGTTTAGCTGGACATGTTCATGTATACGCGGGTGGAGTCCACCTGGTGAACCTCTGTTATTGTTTTTTCTTATCTCATCCATAATGCATTCCAAAAATGAAGTAGGTATCGAGCTTGACATCAGTAACAAAATGAAAACAAAACTGGCCAGAGTAATTATAACATGTTTATAAAAAATAATAAAGGAGAAACATCACTCAGTCAGACTCAAGAAACTTCACAATAGCACCATGGAAGACAGATTTTACCAGTTACACAAAGTATCAACAGTTAATCTGAATTCAAGGATACTAAATATATTACCCTACCAGAAGAAGTATCGGTCTCACATATTGATCTATTTTAATTCATATTTTGTTCTATTCAAAGTAGCCACTGTGCAGACAGCTGTGTTATGCACAAAACTGTAGTGAGTTTATAAATAGATCAGTAGATGTATGGATGAGATAGGAAAAGAAATGTTTTCATTAGTTCAATAGTTGACTAAGAACACGACACAATGATAAAAAGTGTCAAGTATAAAATGAGTCCAGAAGAAACAAACAATAAATTGAGATACATCAGATTTTAATCAGATTTCCTCACAGATTAACACAGTTGGAAATGAAATGGAGTTTAAGTTTTTGATGTCTTAACTTTTCTGAAACAACTGTGTTAATGAAGACGGAAAATAGTTGGAAGTGGTTTAAGTTGTTCCATAAATTTGCACACAGTGATCACAACTAGCTATTGTAATATTGTATACATTATCTTAATTACTAGACAAAAGACTAGCCTCTCACTAACGACCCATTCCTCTTACAAGTTTCCTAAGGAACACGTGCCTGTATAACCCTCAGTGGAAGCCCAACATCAAATTAAGTTAAACAGAAAGAAGGGCCCTACAAAATTTAAACAGAACACATAGATAGATTTTACCTGCCATTCCAAATAAAAAAATCTTAAAGGCTCAATACCACTCTTGTTGTAACTGAATAATATGTCCCAATCTTTATTCTGGTCAACAAATTGCACTATTTTACAATATTCCAATTAATTGATGATACCAATTTCATCTGAACATACCTAATTTAAAAAAAATGGAAAAATTCAACTAAATGATTTGAAAAGCCTGACGTAAAGCTTTTCAAATGTGACTTGGATTTAAAAAGTAAAATAGGATTTAATGGATAATTTACACAACAGATAAGACACTAACACATCTAGTACTTAGAATAAGGCTATTTTTTATTTTCTGGAGCTGTCAAGCCAGCAAGAGTGTTATTGTCCCTTTAAGTGAAAGTAAATGATGTGCAGTGAAGTTGTGGATATCATATATAATAGAGAAATCTATCAAATGTGACTGGAATATTTGCAGATTTGTTTATGAGATAATATCTGTTTGTTGTAGTGGTTTCACAAGTTCAGGTATAAATTAATAAGAGCTAAATGATGATAATTAAATTTATGTTGGTAGAATCAGGATGTTTTCGGGTTCATCAAGTGTTACAGTGTCCAGGTTTTGTCAAAGTAAGGTTTCTATAACCTGCTATAACGTGGTGGAAGTATTATACCGTAGTTCTTCAAATACATGGATATACAAAAATAGGCCCAGCTAAAAAGTAATAAATTTTAAGACTATTATTGCCTAAGGTCTTGACTCTGATTTAAGCTGTATAGTATTGTTGAGTTGAATATCAGTCTTAATCATATGGTTCAATTTCCGCTAGTATTTACAAATATATGATAAACTGAAATTCATTGATCTATGCTGCTCCCTATATAAACACAATTCTCACCTCCATCTTTATGTTTCGCAAAATCTAATTGATGACCAGTTTTCAATCAGATTGAATCCAAGCTGGGTCATTTTCAAGCGTTGATATTTTGAGATGCATTATTCAAGATCCAAATCTGTCTAGTGCAGATCTTTCGTTTGGCCTCAAATGTTATACAAATTATGAATTAGACATTTCTTTACATAATCAACTCTATAGAACTTTGGATGGTTTTGATTTTTCAACAGATATAAATATGATTGGCAGTTAATGATTTAATTTAATAATAGATAATCGAGACTTTGTTTAATATCTTAACAATGGTAGCAACAACAATCAAAACTTCACTGTTCTGCAAACAATGATAACTCTTCTCAGAATGAAGTAATTCAACTGAAATTTTCAAAATATTCCCTTTTCAGTTTCCAATTTGAACTTTAAAAGCTGTCAGCTCCTTATCTAAATCTTACATAATGCATCTTTAATTAAATGTTAGGATTAGTGTAGATTAAGCAAATCATGCACAGTTATTTTAATTTGTAATCTTTTTTTTTTAAAAAAAAAATTATTCTAATTAAAAATTTCATTGTTACACATATTGTTAATTTAGATTAAAAACCTGAACAGATGCCAAGGCTAAGTAAAATAACATAAATACTCTACAGTAATAACTTCTAGCTTATTTATTTCTATTTTTATCATGGTTTATGGAGTTTATTCCTGAAATATTTATCTTTGATTAAGTAGGATTATTGTCGTGTGACATGCCAAATGTATTACTAAAGGAACTGCGACAGAATTTCAACGGATTGTGACATTCTTTAAGGAAATTAAACTGATGGGGTCTGAGTAAAAGGTTGGACTTGCTAGTGCAGTAATGACTGTTTGGGAGTCCTCTGTCCACAAGGTGGATGTAAAAAAATTAAATTTGATGAAATTTACTATTTCGCTGAAATCAAAGTATTTGAGGTTTTGTTTTTAATGATAAAATTATTATTTCCCTGATGTCAAGATTTTTGAAATGGTTACGATGTATGTATATTGGTGACCATTGATAACTTGTTTTCTCAGTTGTAACTTGATGTTCCCCAGGGGATTAATAGGCCCTTAAATCTTGACCCACCAATTGGATGATTTGGGTCATTATGTAAAAGTCCATGCATGGAATCGTGAGAATTCAGTCATTCTGACATTGTGTTATTCTAATTTATTTCTGATTATCTGATGGATATTTGTTATTATATAATAAGTAATTATCATGGCTTGAGTCATGGTCACAGTCTTAATTTGTTATTATCCGTTTTTGTTTTGTATCATGTATATTATGGTACTCTTTATATGTTCTCTAGCTTAGAAATGTTTCCCCTTTTGTTGATGTTCCATTTTGTGAGTAGAAGAAGTGAAAATGAAACATAATGTGTAACATATGCAACACTATCTACATATTGGGACCCAGTCTAAGATTCCATGAGCAAAATCAATAAAATATCTGCATACAGCCAAGCCATAGGTTACCATGGCGTCTGATGGCAAGGTCAAGGCCACTCAAAGTGAGAGTGATCAAGAAATGATTTTGATCAGACTCAATCTATTCAGTGCAGATTAGTTACGCCTTATTGGAAGGAAACAAATGGATATTAATGATGTGCTACATCTACTCCATGTTTAATTCATCAATTGATAGGAACGGGTGAATTTGATTGCGTTCAATAGTTTATTTTTTTTTCTGTAAAATTAGTGTGGATGAAATTTCACAATGGCAGCAGCCTGTGCTCTCAGATGTAGAATTTTCTATCTTTTATAATACTCTGTTAATTACACCTGTTACATTGTCAATTCAACGAATATCGTATCATCAGTGACACGGCAACATAAGTACGTACATGTAGGCTATATTTAGGGCTCCGAACATCATTCAAATAATTAAACAGCTCTACATATAGAAGATGATCAGCAGACAAAGCCATCAGTCGTGAAATTTCTATATTGAAAATTTGAATATTTTATGGTGTTAATTCTTGTGGTAAATTAATGCCAAAATGATAGACTATGCTCTTCATTAGTATTCTTTTGATATTGAATGAAAAATTACAAATGATCAAACTTGCAAAGAATACCATTATCTATATTCATTAATTAATTAAA